CAATGTAATAAATAATTATGAAGTACTTATCGATTTGTCCACGTACTACTGATCTTCATTCCGTCTCTACCGAAATCATCCAGGTGTGACGTTATTTTATAAAAAATCTATTACCCCATAAAATTCTAATAAAAATTGCTAAACTATGGGCTTTTATAAAACTGGACCGGCGAAAAATAAAAAAAATAAAATCCCTAGTCCTCAGTGGATAATTTACAAAAAAAAAAATGATTAACGTAAGTTAGAATACCGAAAATGGTAAGATCCGATACTGGTTGACATTTGGCGAAGGCCGAATAGATCCAAGGGGGCCAATAATATCGGTTCATCTGTTAGCCGTTTTCGGTGAACATAGTAAAATACCCTGAAAATGCCTAATCCTTTTTGGTCGATTTCCTATATATTCAACGCGTCCTTATCCTTGTCAGCGATATATTATTTGTACTTTGGCTAACGACAGCCATTTTTGGTTAGCTCTTGAGACTAGATGAGTTAATAAGTTCAAGAAGAACAACAACAAATTATTTCAGTTACAAATAAACTTTTAATTATCCATAAGCATTGTGTTTAATTTGTATTATATATACTAACGCCTTGTCAGCATATGATAAACATTTAAAGTACAAAGTGACATATTATACATTTTTGATTTTGTCAAACTTGTTTTTATCCCAATCATTCAACTTTGTGTTTAACGAAACTTAGAATTCACTATTATAAATTACTGATGTCATTCTGATTCGTTGAGTTAATAATTTTTTGTTCGCCAAAGCGGGGGATTTTTTTAATTTTTATTATTAACCTTTAGAAACAATTAGTAGTAATATAATAATTTTTTGGAAGTCATTTTCCAGTTTGGAGAAAATTTTTAATAATCAGCGAAATCGTCATCCTGCACTTATCTTTATTCTATTCACCTTTTCTTCAGACAAAATCAGCTTAACTTATTTGGATTTCGATGGTCAGGCATAGTGGTGTACGGGTGAAGATGACAAGAAAAATGTGTAACGTTCCTCCGTATATATATATATATATATATATATAAGGACATAATATAGGTTTCGCAACGTCATAATAAAAATAGTGTGAAACGTGTCAACCGGTAATATAATAATAAGAATAATATTGTAGAATGTGAGCGACACAATGAAAACGGTTCGTGGAATATACGTGATTTTTGTGAATGGAATCGACTGCCCCTACAACACTATAATACATTATGTACTTAGTGTGTGTACGCAGATGATTCTGCCGGTTTGTGGACTGGGGCGACCGTTTCCAGGATAGGTAGTGTTGTTATTATTATTACCAGAGGAATGTGCGCCTCCTGATCCCTCAGAACTGTACACACACACACACACACACACACATACTATATAGTCTGTACAATAAAAATATGGAAACGTGTAAATTGTCGGCGGCACGACTGAGAGGCTTTAAAGGCGAGGGCGAGTACCGTGGTGGTGGTGCAAAAGAATATACAATATAATATGCCGTACAAATAGTTTTCTGGAGGTCCTAATGACGGTGTGTGCGGTCGGTCGGTACGGGGAAAGATAGAGAGAGAGAGAGAGAGAGAAGAGACTTGTGTGCAGCAAGCAGAGGGTCGAACCCTTCGTCAAATAGACCATGCACGCACGCACGTACCCGAAGAAGTGGAAAAAAAAGGTACAGAATAAATTTAGACCGGTTGAATGGGCGACAAAAACGTCACAATATAATAAAACACGCCAACAGCCAGCATCCGGTATGCACGTTAAATGCTCCAGGGTTTCATAATAATAATATGGGCGGAAGTGGGAGGAGAAGACTTTTTATTTTTTATTTTTCTCATCTCGTTTGTTCTTATGCGCGTTAACGATCGCCGTTTAGGATTGCCACAAAAGCCGTACGAGTGCTGACGTCCAACGGTTGTAGTTGGAATAAACGGCATCGCCAAAAAAAAACGCTCAAAGAAAACGACAGGGCACAATGAGTATTGATTTTCTTAATTATTCGCTAAATTATATCGAATCGTGTCCGTCAATCGTTCATGCCCCGAAAGCGGTGGGACCATCTTATACTTGTAACACAAGAACATAATATAATAACAATGGTCTTCCTGACTTGCTTTTCGATGGACGAACCGACGAACCGTGTTTCCAATGTTAGCACTGGCTCTTAAAGGTGAAAACGCACCGGCTACAACATTTTGTTGCCTCCAAAAGCAAATGAAACTGGCAGGCCCCTGGCCCATACTGGCCCACCAGGCAAATGCACAATGCGCCCAAGAAAATTACAATGCACAGCGCTTAAGGCGTTAGGGGAGGGGCAGGTGGGGCTTATGGCCAGGGTCTCGCACTTAAAAGTCGGAAAGAGCGTCAAAATCCAAATTGGTAGTAAATAACAAGAAATTTATATTATTTAGGAATGTAATCATATTTTTGGTAAAAAAATTATGGCGTGTCATCTCATCAAATAGCGTTTGCGGTTGAGGGAAGCCGTCGCACAGTGGTCTGAGAAATAAATTTAGGTGGCAAAAATAGGCTATTAATAATGTTCAAAAAATCATTTTTTTTTCTAGGATCTCATTAGTATATGATTACTAGTGTAAATATAAAATTTCAACTTAATAACATTTTTTGAACTGGAGTTATAGTCAAGTGAACTAAACACATTGTTTTTTCTGTTATTTTGAAATAAAAATGCCGATAATTCATCAAAATTTATTGCATCCCGTTGCATCTCCAACACACAATAATCATATTGTCATAAAAAATGGTGTTTTTTCAAAAAAAAATTTAATTAAAAAATATGTATAGAAAATTAATTATCTGTATACAATTAAATAAATATACAATAAAGTTTTTATTTTCAAGTACTAGACGTGATGGATTGTTTGAGGGGGTAATCAGTAAGTATAAAGTTATATTGGGAAATCAAGTATTTCACTTAAACAGATAAGATCTGAAGAAGCACAAGAGGTCAGGAGTAAGGACTATACAAATATTCGAAAACACCATACACGAAAAGACTGTAGAAAACACACCAATGAAGATCTCTTAAATATGTTACTAGTTTCATCAGATCCATATATATCATCGCTGAGAAATTTGTCAAGAAAAAAAACCGAGGAATTTTCTGATGACGTTCTTGCATTAATTATAATTAACAACGACGAATATATTACTGAATGATTCATTTTCTAATATGAATATAAGCATTTAAACCAAAACTAATATTTCATAAAATGTCTGTTTAAATGAAATACTTGGTTTCTTAGTATAACTTCGGCTTCCTACATAACATAGTAAAGTAGCCAAAGAACTCGGAATCTCTTTACAGAATTGAAATTGGAACATCCTATGTAGTCAAAAATTTGTCTGGCTTAAAGGTCTAAAATAAACCAAAATGGCTTTTACTCATAGAAAAACTTATTTAAATTAAAAATTATACATTGAAGCTTATACAAATTAATCGGTAAAGTAATTGACATGGCCGAAATTTATTAAAACTATTTTTCTCGAATATTGCCTATACAGTAAGACGTATACTTAAGTGAAATGTTTTGCCTATATCTAAATAATTCTAAATAGATTAGGCGTGTTACACTCGAGTGCAATACAGCTGTTTGTCAAGTTATTTGATAAAAGTATAAAGCTGACAAGACGCTTCAGTTGACAGTAGTTTAAAAAAACAAAATAATAGATCATACGCCTCAATTATGTCAACAATGCCAATCGATATAGTTTGTTTTTCGAAATAACAAATAATTTAGGAAATATCACCTGGTTTGCCCGTGCGCTTGTATTTAGCTTTTCTTATAATTAAGTTATAGCCTTTCCCCCCATCATATCATTATAGGGCCTCTATATATGAATTTATTAATTAGAGATTGTATTATTATTATATTACATACAAGCTCTTTTTTTTTTGTACAAACCATGCTTTTCTACTTCTTGCGGAACGTTTTTTTAAAATAATCCGATTTGTTTTGAAAAAACATTTGGATAACATTCACAAGGTTTCTATCGTGGCAATTTTAAAATTATTTTTCGCAGATTAATAATTTCTATGTGCAAAATTGCAATTTTTATAGAATTTTACTTAAACAGTGCATTTGTTTGATACATTAAGGGTACCGAACATTTTTAAGGAGTTTTGTATAGGCAATATTAACAGTATGGTACACGCCTAATAGTTTTTTTAATTGGAAAATTCTTAACATATTTTATTTTAGAGGATTATTTTTTATTCTTTAATCGCATTAAGATCATTATTATTTAAATTCAAAATTAATGGTAATAAATCCCATAAGAATAATTGATAAAATTTACCAATAATATAATACTAATATAAATTGTTAATATACGTTGAACTTTTACGATTGACCATTACAAAAAAGATTTCTATTGTCTTTTGTGATTTGTTAATGTTAACAAATGATTGTAATATAAAAATTCAAGACTCAAGTATTCAAAATTAAAAAAAAAACACCAAGATCGGTGTATGTTTCATATCGTCTTAATTGGTCACAATATTATACGACATGCATTTAATGAGCACTCATAAACTGAATTTAATGGTACAGCAATTATTTTGTACGCATTTTCAATAATATATTATATCATTAAATTGTATATAATATACACCGTTCCATCATTGACAATGGTATAATCCTCTCGAACACTATTTTTAAACTGGGTTCACTCAACAGAATATATTTTATTACATAAAATGTCTTTTGACAAACACAAAAAACAATCGTTTCAAGAAAATATAAAACATTAAAGGCCCACACAGTAGTCGAAGGTACAAAAATAAAATAAATTAAGGATAGAATAGAAGGTAACAATGTGCTTAACACATAATTGTTTTTATAGTAGAGTTCAAAATTTAGCTACCACTGTATATATATATATATATGTACCATAAATATATTTTTTTTAATTTAAACAAATTTCAAATTAATAAATGTGCGTCTTATACAATTTTTATTATGGCCGTTTATACTTAAAAACTCGTATCAATGTACTTTTTTTTAATAAATCAAATTTATACCATACACTTGTATAAAAATTTCAAAATGGAACACACACACATATATATATATTAATCAATGTTTTATAATAATATATTTTTAATAACTAGTCAAATTTAAGTGAATGTCAGGCCGCGCCATAATGATAAAACAATGTAACAAGAGACCGAGAGAATATACAGAAGAAGCAAGAAAAAGACAATGATAATAATATAAATTGCTTGTTGAACAGTGTACTCATTAAAAATCAAGATCACGACATTGTAAGTACAATAACAATTTGTATACATAAATATATATATAAATTTAAAAATAAATTATTATTTTAATAAACGCAAAAGAAAAATAACGATTTAATGAATAAAAAGGCATGTGTAAGGGTGGCTGAAACTGAAATCAGCAATAACCAAGTGCTATAAAACCGAGAGTAATTTTTCGTTTTATTATGTTTTTTCGCTGGTATTTCAAATGATAAATTGTGAATAATTTAAAACACAATGGCGGTTAACAAAATTGTCTTTGATGGTTTGTTGATGTACTGCAATGACAGTTATAATTTTTTTTTTAAAGAACTTAGTAAATTTAAAAATGGACACAATCGCATTATTGCAACTGGTTTTTTAAAAATCATTACCAGTATTCGAGCCGCGTAAGGAAAAGAAGTTGTATTGAATGAAATAATTTTAATTATAATTTTTCATATATATATATATATAGTTGATATACATATAAATATATATATATATTTCATTTTTTTTATTGTAATATTTCTATATATAATAATAGTTAAAACATTCAATAATAATTAATAGACTAATAAAGAAAAAGAATGTGTTTATTTATATTCACTCATATTCAAGTTTTCTTGTTTATAGCAGAGAACAGGTATAAAAAAAAAAAAAAAAGGAAGGAAAACAAAGAGCATGTTGTGAGAGCGCAGTAGTGGGGGAGGGGAGGGTGGAAAATGAAGGGGCGCAGATTCTCGCGGAAGTGTGTAAAATGTTTTGTTTTGCTTTATTGAAAATTATTATAGTTTTTTTTGTTTTTTATATTTTTTAGTGTAAAAAGAGTTAGTTGTCTCCAGTGGCCTCTTGAGGCTCATCATTGTCTTGTGTGTCGGACGTCCATAACGTCAAATTATCACGCAACAATTGCATGATGAGCGTCGAGTCCTTGTAACTGTCTTCATTCAACGTATCCAGCTCGGCTATCGCGTCATCAAAAGCCTAAAAGAAGCACATATTGCGATTACTAAAACACATGTCTTATATTTTATTTTGAAATCCTTATCATCTTTTATATCTAATTTATATAACTAAATAAGCCTTTTCAATCAATGCTAATAGTCAATAACAAGTTATCAAAATACTAACAGTAAGTTTTTTTTTTAATAAAAATGTTTATTCTTCAAACAAACCGCCTAGAATAAATATAACCGTTAGCCAACTAACTATGTTATTTATGGCTTGCGTTCAGAAACGACATATATTAACAACCAATGTAGCAATAAAATATATATCGAGTTAGAGAAGCATAAAAAAAAAAATCAAACTCGTTATTACACAGTGACGACCCGAAGAAAGCTAGTTTAAAGGTTATAAAAACTTCTTAATTGGTATGAAAGTAATAATTTCCCTTGAAATTGTTAATTAAAAATCAAATATAAATATGAATACACATAAGTTGCTAAACGAAATAGGTAGTTTGTCACTGGAAACACAATACAAAAACTTGTGAAACTTTTGGGCAAGAGGATACCTGTTTTGCCAAGTGGCAAGCACGAGCCGGGGAATTAATGATTTCATAGTAAAAAACAGAAAAGTTCAATGCCAATCCAAGTCTTATGGGATGAGTAGGCTGCATTTTTGACTTTGCTATGTCAAACGCCTCCTGATATGCCTTCTGAGAATCGTCCACCACCCCTAAACGCCACCAATAAGAAAAGAAATAGTGTTATTAATTGTGTCGTAGTTACCTGTTTCGCCAACTGGCAAGCTTTGTCTGGTGAATTTAATATCTCGTAGAAAAACACTGAGAAATTTAACGCCAGACCCAATCGGATTGGATGCGTCGGTTGCATTTTGGCTTTACTGATCTCAAATGCATCCTGGTATGCCAATTGTGAGTCCTCGACTACAGCTATTTTACGATAAACAATTATATTATAAATTAGAACAATTATGAATAATTTATTTAGTTATAATTGAAAATTGCACAGATGTTCTTTAATAAAACGTTAGTATCAAGTGGTGCAACAATTGTAACAACATCAAATTTGGGTTAACCTTGCACAGTAATTTAAATCGTCTACAATTTGTGTAACATTTTGATATCACGGTCCACACAGTTTGATGAGTTTCTGTTGTACACACAATTATTTTAATTGTCTACTATTACTCCAGATTTTTTTGGAATTTTAAGTTCAGAACATCCTTGACAAGTTAAGAGAGAGAAATGGTTCCACAACGGGCGACAGCGTCACCACTGGGGCCAACTTGTTGGGTAGCTTTAGGTCAGCAAAGAGCTATAATACCGAAAATGCCAAACCTATAAACTGTCTAAGTGTCGATCAGTGGAATAATGGATGTAAAAACGTGGGAAAAAAATCCACAGTAAAATCAACAGAAATTTCCAGCGAGATGTGACCTTACTCAATAAACTGGAGTTCATACTAAACAACAAGTTCATAAACTTTTGAAATAAAAAATTGCATTTTCTTTACTTACCACACACTTTTCTATACAGGCGCGTTTTCTCATAACAAAACCTGAAGTTACAGTACTAAGTTTTTGTCGAGTACACACACATACATAGAAAAGTGCGAGTTGGGTAAATGTTATGGTAAAAGTACTAAATATAGTAAAATTTATATTTGAAATTTTACTTCAGTAAAACTCAATTCTTATTGTATTTTAATAGATTAGTTAGATGGCACTAACACTAAAACTTGTGTAAGAATAAAACAATTATCGATTTTTTAGATTAATTTAAATCAAAAGAAAAACACCAATTGAATATCATCAGACAACATTAAATATTCCTCATTCAACTCAGAAGAACGAAAGTTATATTTGAACATCATTTGATGTGAATAATTAAAGCAGACTACTAGATTAGCCAACATCTACTGAATTAATTTAAAAATTTAACTCTAAAAAAATAAAACAATAAATATCCACAAAAAAAAAAATTTCTCTTTGCTGTAAAGGGACTGGAAAACCAATTTGCAACCATTAAAAATAAATAAAGTAGTTTCAGTGAGGTTCAATTACGTTAATAATTCAGTTAGTTATGCTCTACTTAATTTACTACACCTAGCTTACATAAATGTAGCAGCTTATTCACTCAATACACCTCTCATGTGGTATCATTTCATCAGTAATAAATGGTTTTCTTCAATACATTTTTCAGCAGAACGAAAGTTATTTATTATTAACATCATGTGCAATACCAAAGAGATAATAAAATTAAAGTAACCAACATATAAGATTTTTTTTAAAGTCTTACAACAATACTACGATATCGTAAATGCTCGTATCATATATATATATCTTTTTTTCCGACATATATATCATTAAAAGTCGGGAAAAAAAAATCAAATGTCACGGTTTGCATCACTTAAAAATATTAATCAATATTATCAGACAAGTCTACTATTATTCTTCAAACAATTTCAGAAGAACGAAAGTTATAAATTTTATGGCATCACACAATACTGGAGTAATAAACAATTGTAAATTACAGCCAATCGTCATGTTATTAATTTATGGTTAAGTACTTTAATATAAAGTACCTATGACATTTTCACGCTCTGACGCTTAATTTAATATAGTTATAAGTTATATGCAACTTGGTATTATAAAATAGTTTGTAAAAAAACAAAATACATTATAAAAAAAAAATATTCAAGTACTTAATTATTAAAATCATAAAAAATATGACAGCAGTTTATTAGTTATTCACTTGTTGGTAATGTGCAATAAATAATTGAAATAAAATAATTAATTAATTAATTAATTATAAATATTTACCAGCTGCTGTTTATCAAATATATATTTTTTTTCTAAACTAATAATGAATAAAAAAATTAGATAAATTTATTAAAAATATTTTGATTAAAATAAAATAATCCAATTATTTATAATAAACAAAATCTCATCAAATTTATTTTTTTGATAGTATAATGAATAATTTATTCTCTTACCATTTCTAGTTTCACCAGTAGCTACTTCCGCCAGGTACCTGTAATAATCACCCTTCATTTTAAGGTAGAAGACTTTGCTCTCAGCATTACTCGCTTTAGGGATAAGGTATTTGTCCAACAGATTCTAAAAAAAAAAAAATATAACTATTATTAAGATTTCCTAAAATCTAATGTTACTTGAACTTTTATTATTTCAAAATTTAAAAGTTAACATTTGTATAAAAACGTTTTATTACTACAAATTGAATTTACTAGTGTTTAATTTTAATCAGATTATTTGCCATTTAATCTTTAAAATATTGTTTTGTTAACTATATAATTTCTTTGAACGAGATCATATTTTTATCATAATAAATATTATAATAATAATTTGTAATTGATCGAATGAATAATATTTATGGATAATAACCACAAAACAATAACCAGAATGTGTACACATAGTGTTCCAATCATACAACATACAATATTATGCCGATTAGAATAGCCTAGTTTTTAACATTGAATAGTGTAACAAGTAAAGGTGAACTCGAATGTAAAAGCTAATATGCAATTTTATGAACAATACACATCACATGTGGTATCATCTCATCAGTAATAAATGGTTTTCTTCAATACATTTTTCAGCAGAACGAAAGTTATATATTATTAACATCATGTGAGATACCAAAGAGGTAATAAAATAATAAGTAGTCAACGTGTAAGAATTTTTTCAAGTCTTACAACAATATTAAGATATTATAAATGCTCGTATCACATATATATATATTGTTTTTCGACATATGTATCATCACAAATCGGGAACAAAAAAATTAAAAGTCACGGTTTGCATCACTGAATATTAAATACAACATACAAGATGCAATTATGAACCTAATCACTTCTACAACTTACCAACACATCGTAGCAGATGTCTCGAAGTTCCTTTTCGACCTTCTCTCGATATTCTCTAGCCATCTGTTGTTTTTTCTCAGAGCCTTCAGTTTTCTGCTCAATTGAAGATATCACTCGCCATGATGATCGGCGAGCACCCACAACATTCTTGTAGGCCACTGATAGAAGGTTTCGCTCTTCATTTGAAAGCTCCACGCCAGTTTCAGTAACAGATTTCATTGAGCTGGCCATGTCGTCGTAGCGTTCCGCCTGTTCGGCCAGCTTGGCTCTTTGAACCGAGTCCTCTTTATCTCCAGACATTTGATATTAAACTTGACCAACTGACTTAATTAACCTAAAAACAAAACCTTTGTTAAGTTACTTAAATAGTCAATTTTGATATATATAACTATTTGTAATGTATCTGTGCTTTGTTGATCTGGGAAACGATAAACGGAATGTACTATACTCTGGCCCACGAGAGATCATGTAGACTGACGGCAGTGACCGGTCAGAGGCGCCACTAGCGTTTTTTTATAACTTATACATTTAAAATGAATTATTTTTTCATTTTTAGATATAAAAAAAAATAACACGCTACGGCATAGATTTCTCTATACATTGTGAAAATTTCGTTTATCTACTGTTAATACTGGCTTCCCATTTCTCATACTTGTCCTGAGCAAAACAGTTTTGATGGGGAAAAAAATGTAATTTATCAGAAATGACTGATGTCTGTCAAAAAAATTTAAATCAACAAAGAATCTTCATTACTGTATTAACTCATACTATATTTTAAGTATTTAAATTAAAAGATTTCGAAAAATTGCCTAAACTTTAGGCGTTCTCCTAATAGTCAACAATAGACCAATAGAACTAACAGAAATCCCAGCCATAGAGGGACAAGTGTTGATAAGCGTAATGAAGACTTGGGGCCACAGATACAGGTGTCCGTTTACCGGGATCAGCCTGCCGCCCGATGATGTAATTGTGGAACAACTGCATTTGGACCTAGTGGCAGTGGCGCTTATTAAGCGGTTATTTAAATTAAGCGTGCATTATGGGAATGCGGCCCGGTGGTACGACGCGCATTATCATTTACTATCGCGTGCCGTAGTGTACTGTGTAGTACGTGCAGTGGCGACGGCGTCCATCGATTATTTATCCGAAGCGGGCAGGTAGGCGGTGAGGTGTGTACGCAGAACGCGCGGGACGTGACGCGCTTGAGAATTGGTGTATATATATATAATATAAATTACACGGCGTTTCTCAGAAAACCTGGTAGCTACGGCGTATTACGGGTGGTGTCCGCCGTTTCATTGTAGCGGGACAATAGTAATAAAATATATATAATAACGATAATGATGGAGACCATAGCTCTGTTCTCCCACAAACCGTGGCCGTCCTAACGTGTGACACACAGCTGTGGAATGCGTTCGTTGCCGCAGCCACCGTCGTCGTGGTGCATTCGCCCAAAAAGATTCATACGGACGCAGTCGCCGGCCTTATCTTTAAAGACACAAGCGCACACGAGGGGTTGTCCGGCAGCCACCGCGGCCGAGGAGGTGGTGAGGTGCACGGTCTAGCTGCTAGAAGGATAGGCCGGGCCCATAAGGTTTGGAAATAAAAAAAACACTCGACGCCGGTAGCCGGGGTGTTTAAAAATAGATTGGTCGTTGAGCGCCCGTCGTCGTTTTTACTCACCTATAATGGATGTGTACGGGCCCGGTAGAATTATACCTCACAAATGTGCGGCCGACACGAACGATATGCAGCAGCTGCTAGGCGGCGGTGGTGGTTTCGCTCACGCACATATAACTACTAATGTGTAATAATAAAAACTACACCCGGCACACCACACACACGAAGACGACGGAGAAAGAAATCGGCCAACTTGTAATTTTTCACTATCTTAAATAAATTGTATTTTTGTACCGCATAAAAACATCGAGTGTGTATGTACTGGCATGTATATAAATGTATATAATATTAAGTATAAAATTAATTGCGTGTGTGTGTGTGTGCGCGCGCGCGCTGCGGTGTTTATGCGTTTCGCGGCCGGACGAGATTGAAAACGAGACGGACACCGTGAGGCGTGAGTGTATATGTATGATGGACAAGACGGGTGGTGGCGGTGGCGGTGGCGGGCACAGCTAGAAAGGCGCGGACGCTGCGTCCTACCCCCACTATGACATTACTATCGCGTACAACTCACTGCTATCGATTATTTGTGAGTCCGCGTTCGATTTCTTTTGAATTAAAAACCGCGCATTTCCCACACACCACCACCATAACGATAGAGATATAAATATAATTATTTTTCCGACGACTTAATGAAATAATAATGTGAAAACCATAATTATAGCCAGTCGGGAGGGGACCACCGCATTGTTTCTCCGTTATTTAACGAGCGAGCGATCAATTACTATTGTTTGATCGTTCGTTTAATATAATCCAAGCCGCTCTATTTATAGAAAACAATAATAATTGAAAAATCGAGTGTCAAGGTCAAAATGCTAAAGAAACCTAATGATTCGAAGATCAGTTTGCGACTAGATCGGTCAGCCCGGCACAAACAAGTGGCAAGTTGGAAAACTGCCGTCTACTTTATGCGTTTCTACTCCGTACCAGATTGCTGATAATATGAATTATTGTCGGAACGATATCTGTGTACTTCGTACCGGTCGGCGAGAGATATCATACCTATCGATATCAGCACGTAGCGATAGTACGAGGAGGGTGGTGTAGGTGGGTGGATAAACGGGTGTGCGAGTGGTGTGGTTGCATTTTACACACAACCCGACAGACGCATGCGCGTACGAGCGCACCGCACCGGGTTCGATCGATAGGTATGCGCGACGGACGTCGGCCCCCGGATCACACCACCACACCGCTGACGACCACGGACGGAGGAACGTGACAGGCGCGTGAAGGCGGAAAACGCGCGCGTGCGTCGCCGCCGGATAGCTCACAGCCGCGGCCACCGAGATAATATGGCAACAACTGTTCTGTTTTCGTCATTATTAATGTAGGCGGCGGCTGCTGACGAATGCCGAGTCGAGTGGCCGACGGACAGCGAAAAGACAGCCGTCCTCGTGCACACGGACGTCGTATATATAAATCGGCGGCGGCGGCGGCCGATAGGAATCGGAAATAAGAGCCTCGGCGCATGCCGCAGTAGCAGACACACATATATACACACACGGGCGTTATCCGCCGCACGGCCGGGGCGGACGACACTTCCCCACCCCCACCTCTCCTCAGAGCTAAGGGACAAGCGGTGTTTCGGGGTCTTATACTGCGCAGTGAGCGGCGGTTTTTAGCCCAAAAAGGGAGATAAACAAAGCAAGGGGAGGCATAAGTCCAAATAAATCTACTAAAAAGGTCATCGCATTTTGCGCAATACCTATTTTTTCGTAATATGCCATGTCGAGGAAGCAGTCTCTATGAGCTAACGCACACACACGACGGGCAGTAGGACGGCGTGACTGCCTACTCCGGACGTTACAGGACAAGGTCAATGCCTTTTTATAGTCATGCACAGGATGGGAAGAATTTTGGAATGACGTTTCCTATATAGGTCACACATACTCACAAACATATTTAGCTATCAGGCATCACGTTTTGTTCAAAGGAAACTTATGTCATTTAATTCTCAAAAAATAAAAAAAAAACGAAAATAGTTCTTTTTTTTAGGAAAATATAATAAGTTTGACCATATTGAACAGTTGGTCTGATATTTGATAACCGTCATTAGTGTTACATATTGCTGCTGAAAAGCCTAAGGGGACTATTACTTAGAAAAAACAGTGTATTATATTTTAAAGGGGTTTAAATCACTCTATAACCCGTGTCTGTATGTTGGCTAAAATTGATTTGTTATTCTTATAATTTAAAACGTACAGAATACCCAAAAAGAGCAGAGCCGAAACTTATTATTAATAATAAACCTTTGTTAATATCATAATATTACGACGATATAATCAAATTGAACACTCATCAAAGATTTTACGTAAAGGAAAAACAGAAATTGCAATAGTTAAAAGACTACGTCACGCGAACGGTTTGCAGAGGCTTAGCTTTACCATAAATTCAGCTATAACATAACTAAGCATAAAACATATTATGTCTATGCGATTTTTAAATAATGCCCTCCAGTAAATAATTGGTGAACCCACAACAAAATATTCGAAACAGATTCCCAAATGACATTGTATATTATAAGAATACTAAGTACCCAATGATCAAACGGATCATACTATGTCTAATAATAGAATATAGAATGCCATAACTGATATAAGAATCACACAAAAACATTATTACGAGTGGACAAAAGATAACTTCACTACATACGTCTGATTACAAAAGTATTTATTTTACTTCACAATATGCAAGCTTGAAATACAACTGCATTTTTAGGAAAATATCTATCAGTATTAAAATACTGCTAATAAATGCTAAATACTACAAATTTCCTTTGAGTACTTCAAGAAAAATGTATGCATTTAAATCATACACCTACGTCCTATAAGCTTCACGGGGAAATTAATTAACTATATATGTTAACTATTTTTTTCTTATGAAGCAATCATAATTTGTGATGCAACAAAGGAAACTTAGGACTAATTTAATTAGTTGGTACAACAAAAATACTACCTCTGGTTTAAAATGTAATTTGGCAAAACAATTACAACTTTGTAATTAAAAGAATTAAATAGTGAACTAGGCAGACAGTGTAATTGAATTTATTAAAATAAACCCATCTCCGACTAATGAGACACCCAAAAACTAATAAAATTATGGTAATTTCAGTTTTTCATTCAGAAAGTAATCTTTGAAACAATTTAGTAGATATAATAGGAACATTGCTGTTCTTTTATGGTCTTGATATACTTTAGCAATGTAAGTAAAAAATGATAAACGATAATAACAATTTTGTTTTGACACTATGTTTGATGAATATACTAAACTATGTCTCAAATTATCCAAATGAGTAGATTATTAGTTATATACATTAACAAATTTTAGTTTATAGTTTTATGTACTTTGTAATAACCAAATGCCAAGAAGTAATTTTTAATTTTAAATTAAATTATATTTATAATATGATTGTCGAAATATAACAATGTCGTAATAAATTTTAAGTGGCAGCAATAATGGGCTTAAATATTATTCATATAAATTGTTAAATCACATTTGTTACTTATACATTACGTACGTATGCAGGTTATATGCAATTATTTCTGATTTATTATGATGTCATAATAAAAAAAAACACTCAAGTTATTTTTGATACCTCGTAACATAAATATATAGATTAGTAAATAGGTAATGAAATGAAATTTATTAAAAGTTTAACATTCGTAACCAAATTAAAAAGTAATAAATCTGTCTACTCTGTAGTAAAAATAATGTTACCATTTCTCAATTTTCTTAAACCAATATTAAGCCGATCCAATCTTATTGCGAATAAAATTCAAGACACTCTCGACTTTTTCTAAAGCCGGGTCCACACTACTGCGCAAAACGTTTGTTAACTACATAGGTTTTTGTGCACGTTTATATGTACGTTTTCACGAACATTTCATTGGTATTTGATGTTGCCCATAGAGCCAATAATTTCGGCGAACATGTTCGCTTAAGTTTAGCGTGGCAGTGTGGACCTGGCTTAAGAACAAATACATCCAAAATTCAACTTTGACTTAAGTCAAAATTTCATATTTAGAGAAAAAACTGTGAAATTATCAAAGAGCAATTACACAACTAATAATTTTTCCAAATTATATAGGTGCTAGGCAAAAATGATTCAATATAATCATTGCATACTTTGAATCCTGTTTACGCAAGTCTTACCACGGTGATTTAATGCATTTTTCAATTGTATCACTTTTGAAACACATGTGCAATATTATACACGATTAGACAGGTATAAATTTTGGACAACAATACAATTACTTTTCACATCGAGGTTTACATTTATATTGTATTTTTAATAACAAAGCCATTAGGTAGAAGTGCTACCAATTCAATCTCTATCCTTTTAGCAAAATTGCTCAAAATTGTATTTACAAATTGCAATAAACCTACATTTTTATTAAGTTCTTATCTATGATAAGGATATTAGCAATTGGCGACTTATTTAGATGAATAACAAAAAATGCTTACAAAACTTTTAAGCTAGCTCTATGTGGCGACAGTCGATTATATAAATACACACTAAAATCATAATAATAAATGCTATGAGACTTTAGAACATCACAAAGAAAATATAAGTAACAAACGAAAAACTACTGGAGTACATGAAAAATAACAAAAAGGTTACGTTCAATTAGTATCGGGTGAATGCTGAGCAACATTTAGAATTTCAATATAAATACCAACACCTCCGAGTTAAGTCGACTATTGTGTGAATATTGAATGCATTTTCGTGTTTACATACATAGTACATATTATACAAACACATATACACACACACGAAATAGTTGATATTTGTTTGATTCCGCGTGATTATCACACACTCAGATCGCATTGGGTTTTATCAATATCCTCGACAACGGCAAGCGTACGATGGAATACTTAAGGTAGAACATTTGGAAACTTGGAAAATTGCGCTTTATTATAGCAGAGAAACAAACCACGAGGCTACAGGCGACGAGATTTATACAAAATAAAAGGCGTGTTAATATCCGGCGGACGTTGGCAGGACACAAAAACATGGTTTAACCGAAACGTATTTCCCATTAAAAGGCGGATCGCACGTGTGTGTCACAAGAGACATATTTAAATGGATTTACATGAAAATACACGACACAAACACAGGGTATTATATTATGTATATTAGAGCGCGTACCTGTACGGCAAATGTTCGCCAAAGGCGTTCCAACGAGCAGCGTCCGGCGGTCGTTTACCGTGTGCAAACGAATCCAATATTGACGTTGTGTTCTACTGCGCTCGTTTCGGCATAAATCCCAACAGTATGACGTGTTTTGTACGATATAATATGTGAAGATTATTTATGCTGCAGACGGCGAGCGTTAAATATGAAACAACCAATCGGCAAA